TCGGTCGTCTTCCTACTTGGAGTTCGAGGACCTGAGCGCCCACTCGACGCCCAACGACTGCATCGAGGGTCGGGGCGTTGCGTCGATGAGCAAGCATGAGGCCTCCCACTGGGTGCGGCAGCTGGTGGAGACCCACCAGGAGCTCAAGGCCATGGACAGATTCTCCAAGTAGGGACCCATTGGACATGTTGACAGGCAGACACACACATCATGTCTGTCTGTGAATGAATGTGTGCAGCGACTTCGACCTGAGGAGCTACCTGGTCGACGAGGCCAACACGGTCAAGCTGGCGTGCATGAGGTGGCGTGTTGGAAAGCACTCCGTCGCCACAGAGAGGAACGCCGTGTTTTGCATCGGGTGCATGGGGGGGTGGGTGGGGTGCAAACAAACACCACCACAACACACGCCCGATAAATGGACGTTCCTTTGTCTGCAGGAAAATCGCCGAGCGCACTTTGTTTGAGAGGCTGCCGCGCCGCATCGCATCAGAGGATGTTCTCAGTGTAGGACCAATCCCGACCCGCTTCACCGTCCTACACTGAAGGAGCTCATCTCACATCCGTGCATGGTCAGTTGAGTGAGTGACACCGAGGGAGCGCATGAACCGCCTCACTGTATGTATGTATGTATGTATGTATGTACGGCTGGGTATGTCTTGATTGATGCGGTCATTTCTTGAGCTTGGTGTTTCCGCCGCCCCCCGGCCCACTCCCTCGCCGCCATCGGCCGTCGTCGGTGTACCCCTTGGTGGAGCGCTCGCTGGTGTTGTCGGTGCCGACGGACAACTGCCTCTCCCCCTCCCTGCCGGACCGACTGACGGGACTGCTAGCGGGACCGGGGCAATCAGCGAAATTGGCGTGTCTACTTCTACAGGGGGAAAGTCCACACAGGGCGGCAGAATCGCTGCCTGCATTTTATATCTTGTCAGTTGGTGAGTGTGATGGGATCGATCAAGCGCTCACGAACCGATCGCTGCCTGCATTTTATATCTCGTGCGTGATTCGTGTCTCTTTGGCGGCGTGATGGACGAGTAAGGGCACTCGCGAAGGAGGGAGGGACGTATGTGTGCGCAGCAAGGATTACGCAAGTCAACCGCTGGACGGAAAAGTGTCATGGACCTGAGAAAGAGCGTAGTGTATACGCGTATACAAAAGAAAGATATTTGTGTATTCATGGCCTCCCATATGCATGATTCACACAGGAGGTTATGGAGCCAGCCGCAATGAGTCCTTAATTAATTGCGCATGTCATGGCTGTACACTGAGTCACTGACGTGGCAGACATGAAGTATGGACACACGTCGAGCACTCAAAGCGACGCATGGACACACACACACACACACACACAAACGAATGCCGCATGGCTGGCAGACTAAATATTGCGCCTGCAGCACAGCAGCGACAGCAGTGGCATACACATGAACACACACACACACACACACACAGACACACACACACATGGACACACCATGAGGTCGGATGGCAGGCTAAAGATACCGCCTGCGCACCGACCTGAGCGGTGTATATGAGCATACACACAGAAGGCAAAGGCACACAGTGCAGTGCAGCACCACATGAACATCGATTGATAAAAGCCATACTTGCATGAGTGATGCTACGGAGCTACCTAGCAACCACTACCACGAATCCATCTACCAACTACAATAGGGATGTGTCTACTGCAGGCTATGCTGCTTGCACATGGAGGGGCAATATCAGAGAGACATGCGTCAAGAAAGAGTGGCTGGCAGACTAAATATCTCGCCTGCAGCACACCAGCGACACGAAATCATGATCATCGACACACACATACACACACACACACATGGACACACCCATGAGTCGGATGGCAGACTAAAGATACCGCCTGCGCACCGACCTGATGATTCACATGAATACACAAAATGCACACTAGAAGAAGATACACGGCATGGATCTATGTATGCGTGCTACAATCGCGAAAAGAGACACTACAGGTAACCAACAGACTCTACAGACACACCGACTACGCTCAGTGAGAAAGCG